GGTCACAACCAACCGAGGAGAAGAAAGAGCAGGCTGTCCAGAGATCAGGACGGCTCAGGCGGCGCATGTGCAAGCCAGAGGTGAAACAATGCACGAGACAGCTTACGAACGATGCAGATGTAACAACAAAACCTAAAGGTAACACCAAGACCTAAAGGAAGCCGAAGTGGCTCCGCCAGCGCCGCACGAAACGAGGCGACAGCATGTGGCAAGATGACGGCCCTGAGCCCCCCACCAGAAAAGCCAGTGCCAACAAAGTCCTGCCCCGACCCAGAATCCACAGATAAGGTAAGGAACCCCCCTTCCTACCTGCATCCGGTAAGGATCCGGATGCAGGTAGGAAGGGGGGGACCAGACTAGACCACAACTGGGGAAAGACAAGAGGGTATGGAAGGAACCAAAGCAACCAACACCCCCAAGCCCCAACACCAACCAAAGCGGGGCAGCCTCGGGGCTTCCGGGGAGCAAACAACCGAGAGCGTTGCCACCATCGAAGCTCAACGTGCAACGCTCATGCTGCCTGCACCCGCATAGTCAGCATAAGACTGGGTAACCGAGTCACAAGCAACAAAACTCGCAGGACTCTGCGCCGAAGGTGTCACCGACCACATAGGCAGCAGACAGAGGCAAAGACAGAGAGAGTCACCTTGAGACAAGAGGTGAAAGCAACCCTCAAACTCGCTGGAAGCGAGGGGGGACTCCGGGGTCACATCCATCAGACCCGCGCGCCCCCAGGGGTTTCCCAAGGTCCTGAGCGTTTACTATAATAGGACTCGCGCTCAGGTAATCCCAGACAGGGTACTACTAACCGGCGCCTAAATCTACCAAACAATCTTCTAAGAACTGAACCCCCGGGATGTGTACACTCACAGGGACCTAGCAGGGGGAACCACCGGAAGAAGGAAGAATACTCAGTACACAGGGGGCAAGAAGGAAGGCAGACCATCCCCCCCACCAGGCAGATAAACAAAAAGAAAAAGAAAACCCCGCAAGAAGACAGCATACCCAGGAAGAACAGAGCTGGCCACCAGGATTGGTGAAAACAAGCTGCGCAGTACCCTGCCCCTCATCAGTGCAAAACTGCCCCTTACCCTAAGGCGAACAAGGGAGACAGAACACCCAAGCACACAAAGGGCGGCCGAAAACCAAGCAGTAAATGACCTAGTGGGGCAGAACCCAAGGAACTTGTGGAAGGTGGCCCCAAGCCCCAAGCCCCAAGGGCAATACTTACAGGGCACCTAGGTAAGGAAACCCTAGGCACATGTAGCCCGAGTACTGGAGAATCACTCCCGGCTCACGCACCACCTAGAAGACAATTACTACACTCTAGGTACAGTGCTGAAACAACCACCGGAGCTGGAGCACACGACATCAGCCTCTAGCATCAGCCGAAGAACTGATGGTGGATAGCCAGCGGGTAGGTCTGGGGCTTCCCCCTCCCGGGGAGGGGGAAAGCTACTCAGACAGCGGCGTGGTGACATGTAACGTCATGATCGTTTGCTCATTTCTTTTAGGGGAGTTCACTTGTTCAGCTTGTGGTAGCAATTTTCACCAGAATAGGGGTTTGTTTTGGGACGCTTACCTTTCTGGGTGCTTGACCCGGTCGATGCCAGACATAGAATGCTTCCAACCACACGGAGTTTCTATAGGCCATTATCCCCTTGCCTCTTCCAGGTTCTGGCTCGTGGGGTCCCCAGTAGGCAGAACTCCAATTGACTGAAGCCCAAGACTAATATAGCAAATATTAGTCTGATAGCTCCAGGGAGCCAACGGGGCTCCCCCACAGAAAACACAAGTTCAGAGGCAGAGAAGGAACACAAGAACGCAGGAGGCAGGGAAGAGGCAAAAGCTGAAAACAAAAAACAGCAGAAAGCCATAACATTCAGGGAAGTGCCCCCTCCCCCCCCCCAAGAAAAAGAGGGAGAGAAATGGCGTGAAGAGCCAAAGCACCACCCCAGCGAAGAGAACCGAAAACACAGGCAGTTGTCAAAATGGGAAAACCCCATAAAACCACATACATTATCTCCATGTTCCAGGCTGCACAGACAAAACCCACCAGAGAAATAGCAGACAAGAGGAAGCAATAGAGACATTGGGAAATCCCAGAGTGCAAAAACACACGAAATATGCACCCAAGTGGACCCAAACACCCAGCCTCCAAAGGTTAACGCAACACGGAGCACCGCTCTGGTGGCCAGGCATGCAAACAAGAGAGCAAAAATGGCTGCCAACATAAACAATGCAACCGGAGAGCAACCAAAAACGCATAACACCCCAGCAAATATGGCAAAACAATTGCCGAAGGGAAGAAGGGAACAAAAACTCCCTCACCCGCAGCAAGACCCCTGCTCAGAAGCACAAAGGCCCAAGCAGGAGCAATTTGGAGCCCAAGCACACCAAGCAGGCTCCCCCCCCCCAAGCCACGAGACTCCTTGAGAGAGGCCCCGGGACAGAACCCCACATCCACGCCCACCATCCTTGAAGAAAAGGTGGAGCCCAAGGCAAAAGCTTCAAAGAAGGGGGTCTGCTGGAAGGACCCTGAAGCCTCGGTGGAACAATCAGGTTCAATGGCTTCCGTCCCCGTATCAAATGGGGCAGCCCTAAGGGGCCGCCCAAGTCTCATTTCCCAACTAAACCCTGTGCCGAATCCGAAACCCTCAGACGTTTGGGATCCAGCAGCATGGGGAGGAGGAGGAGTAGGGTGACCACACCAACTGGAAATGGACTCGAGGGGGCAGACGGAACCAAGGCCGAAGAGACCAATGCCCCTAAGTCCGAGACCATAAAACCAAAACGGGGCAGCCCCGGAGCATTTGAGCAGGCGACCAATTTAGTGTGTTGCAATAACTTAAACCTACCATAAATGCATCGCGACAGCTGCTTGACCCCTAAGAACTTCCGAAGAAGAATGGGTAAACTGGAGAACGAGCGAGAAACAAGTCCCACACGACTCTGGGTCAAAGGTGTCGTCGACCCAAGAAGCAGCATGACGGAGGGAAAACAGGCGATCATCACCCTGAAAACAGGCAATCGTCACCCTGAGACAAAGATAACGAACAACCCTCAAACTTGAGCTGAGCAGCACCGTGCGCCCCAACCAGCTACAAACACTCCCTAACCAGGGCCCTATGAAAGTACCAAGACCACTGCTGACCTCAAGGGCGAGGCCAAAGTCAGCCCGAAGTACTGGTACTCCTGGCCAACGCCCCAACACATGGCAGGCATAACACCACTAGTGGCAAAATCTTGACAGGAAATGGCAGCCAGAGTTGACATCCGCCCCAGTCGATTTCAGTCGACGGACTGGCAGTCTAGCGGCCGGCTTGATGGGACCTCCCCATCCCCCTCCAGGAGGAGGGGGGGGCTGAATGAGAGGCAGACATGAATATATTTTCAAGGAGTGAAGTTTTCATAGGCCATCACTCCCTGCACCTCTCTGAGGGAACCATGTTCTGGCTTGTGGTTCCCAGTAGGCATAGGCGTTGTTTAATAAAACAACAAGTCATGACTGAAGCTCCAGATTAATATAGCTAATATAAGTCAGATAGCTCCAAGGAGCAAATGGGCTTCGCTTCGAAAAATTCTTTTTGCCAATCAGATGTACACAAACACCACTCAAAACCACATGTCTTGGAGGAGTTTGAAATTACCCTAATCGATATCAATGCACCACGATCACATCTATCAACATTGGGATTTTGCTAATTTTGTATGGCACCTTACCTTACCTTGAGGTTACCTTGAGGTGTTTTTGGGGCTTAGCGTCCCCGCGGGCCGGTCCTTGACCAGGCCTCCTTTTGATGGCACAACAAATATACTAAAATGGAAAGTGGGTTGACTATGTTTATCAGTCAAAATTTGAGAAAACCAAAAAATAAACAAATTATTGTTTCCTGCAAAGTGGACCAAATTGACTGTGGGAGTGCAGGAGATACACAGGCATGTGTCAATACCCAGCAAATGAACATGATGGCAAATCAATCTTTACCAATTCCATTCAGCTGTGCTCTAGGAGACTCAAGGTGTGGACCCCACTCGTGTGAGGCCCAAGCTCTGTCGACCTATCGAAGCTCTATATTGGTAAATGGAATGTTTATTTCCACGGAAGTGTGGATGACAATTTATTATCTTTACCAAGTTGAATCAACGAATGGTTTAATTGTTAACAAGTTGAATCAATGATTGGTTTAATATTTATCAGGTACAGTACACTCAAAGATGGTGACCTAGAAGCACCATAGTTTACGTATATTGTGGATTTTTTATTATTGTCCACCTTTTCTGTTGAAAAGAATTGTTTTGCGTTTTTGTGATGATCAAATCAGACTTGCTGGAAGTGGAAGAAAGCTTAGATGCCTGACATAGACAATGTTTATGAAAGCCCAGAACATGAGCAATACACTACCTAGTTATAACTAGTCACAGGGGAGTTTAAAGGGAGCCTGACTGCTGAGCACACAGAGTTCGGGATTTGTATTCCTAAGGTTCCAGGTTCGATTCCCGGCGGAGGTAGAAACAAAATGGACAGAGTTTCTTTCACCCTGATGATCCTGTTCTCATAGCAGTAAATTGGTATCTGGGAGTTAGACATCTGCTACGGGCTGCTCCTGGGGATGTGTAACAAAAGGAGGCCTGTCCGAGGACCAGGCCACGGGGATGCTAAGCCTTGAAATCATCTCAAGATAACCTCAAGATAGGGGTCTATGAATAGCAAACATGAACTTTAAGAGGCTCTACAGATATGACAACATGCATGCCTTACAAAGACAACCACATACACACACACACACACATACATTTAGGTAATTACACTTAGGTAATTACACAAACACACGCGCCCACACATTCGCATGCGCCCACACACATTCACATGCAGACACTCGCGCACACACAAGTCTTACTACAGCACGATCACGGGGCTCATGGCATCGACTAATGGAGAGATGGGGGAGGGTTAGCGACAATCACAGTTCTATGGGGTCAAAATCACCGGTGATCACCTCGTCAGTTTCAAGAATTTCCTGTCTCACCCCATCAACCTGGTTCATGGAAAGAAGAACCAAAAGTTAATTGTGATTTCTGTGCAAACAAACCATCAAGAGATCAACAAACAACATACGAAAGGAATATGACAGATACACACACACACCTAATTATAATTACTGTAATAAGCAATCACATAGGATATTTTAAATTGTGAAAATTTAGTGAAGATGTAAATGTAGTTAGAGAGGACTCTAAGATAATTACTCATACAATGCACAAACACTGAAACACAAAACTACAAACACACAAGCACAAAGACAACTACAGGGTTGGTCAAAAGTACAATTCACAAAAACTAATTGAAGTAAGGCCACTATTATAGGCAAAATTCTAAATATTAATTTTACATAACTATAAAAAACCAGCGTTGAATGTAATGAAACGCCATTTTCTGGGTGAGACCCGGAGGCTCCCCGGAGCGTACTAGGCTGATATGCTAATGTCAGACTTTGGCATCAGTCATGTGTATGGAGTTCTGTGGGCCTACCGGGGACCATGAGCCAGAACCTGGCCCCCTCAGAGAGGCAAGGGGAGCAATGGCCTATAGACACCCCCGTGTGGTTGGAAGCATTGTATGTCTGCCATCGACCGGGTCAAGCATCCAGAGAGGGAAGCCTCCCAAAACAAACCCCTATTCCGTTTAAAATTGCTATCAAAAGCTGAACTAGTGGATAGAACTCCCCAACAGAAAACGAGCAAACTAGTACGACGTCACACGTCACCATGCCACTGTCTGCGCAGCTCCCTCCTCCCTTGGAGGGGGACGGGGAAGCCCCAGACCTCTCACGCCGGCTATCCACCCATCAGTTCTGAGGCTGGATGTCAAAACACGCGAAAAACTGCTGACCGGAGGGGGAGAGGGTTGCCGAGGAGCCTCCAGGTCTTACCCAGAAAATGGCGTTTCACTACATTTAACGCTGGTTTTCTGGGGGAAGCCCCGTCTGCTCCCTGGAGCTAACTACCCATAGAGGAAGGTCTTAAGGGACATATCTGGGAGGCGGCCACCACTCACACCTCAACACGAAGTGAGACAACCAGCTGTAACTGCCAACTTAAAGCAACACAGGCCTGACCAGGCCTAAGGACGTGAACAAGACAACAAGCAGCCAGGACCCCTGTTTGACTGCCGAAATCCCCACTCCTGAATGTCCGCCCAAGACATAGACCCAAGGAATGGCAGCAAGAGCCGCGAACTTGCGAACGTCACGGGCACAGGGAGAAACCGCAGGCTGGCCAGCCTTAAGAACCCTGCGGATGACCCGGGAGACCCGCACCTGTGAACAGGGAAGAAGGGAAACCGGATCAATCCTAAGCGCGTCCACAGACACACAAGCCGTGCGCACAGTGTAGAGCCGCAACTGGGCACAAAACCTGAAGCCCCCCCGGCCAAACCAACAAGACATCAATAATCCAGGGATCCCCCTCCGGAAAGCAGCAGTCACATTCTACGCCTCTACGCCAGAAAAGAAGGAGAAGGACGCAGAGGAACAAAACGATCGCCCCGAGCAAAGGAGCAGAAACCCCAGCGCCGGAGGAGAGCATGAAGCGACCCGACTCCCCGAGGCCAACACCAACAGGAAAACAGAGACCCCGAGAAACCAACCGGAACCGAAAGGGCCAGAAAGGGAAAGAACGAGACAGGCCTGAAAACCAAGAAGAAGCCCTGAAGAGGACCAACAAGCCCTAGAAAGGACTGGAGGGAAGCTTCATCGAAAGACGACAGACGTTCCAATAATACGGGAAGGAGCAAAAACCGTCCCGAACCTTCGAGGACACAGAGAAACAAGCACAAATGATGAAGGCACAGAAAGGCCCAGTCGCACCTGAGATCAAGTCACGCAGAACCCCAAGAAGAGGGGAACATGACGGAGAAGTCCCGTCCCAAGAAAAAAAAGGGTGAAGAACTGAGAAAAGCACATACTGACAGGACGGAACTAACGGGCTTAAGGGACAAGGAACCGAGCCCAGGGAGGGGCCAATGTCCAACAACTCATGCGGAGTGGGGAAGGAAAAAACCCCACTCCGCGTAACCACAAGCCCCGCCCAGAGTACAGAAAAAAACCCGGCGGGGTCCAACGGGACCTGAGGCCCCCCCCCAAGTCAGCCCCCCCCCAGCCCCGGCACCCCACACGGCAGGCCCCGGGGCCGAGCTGTTCCCCCAAAGCCCCAGCCTCACAAGAAAAAACAGGGTAGCCGTGAAAAGCACAAAGGAAGGGAGCCCACTGGTAGACCCATACAACACGGCTGGAGAACAGGCTCAAATGCTCCCGTTGCTTCCCCAGAAGGGGAATTCCCCGAGACCAACCGAGTCTCAAAACCATGGAAGCCCCGCCCCAGCCCTGAACCCACAGATGGTAAGGACCTGGACGCAGGGAGGAAAGGGAGGGGGGGGGACCTGACAAGACCACCAACCAAAACGGGGCAGCCTCGGGGCTTCCAGGGAGCAAACAACCTAGTGTGTTGCCACCGACGTGCAACGTGCAACGTGCAATGCCCGCGCTGCCTGCACCCACATAGTCAGCATAAGGCTTGGTAACTGAGTCACAAAGAAGCAACAAAACTTACAGGACTCAGGGCCAAAGGTGTCACCTACCCCACAGGCAGCAGACGGAGGCAAAACAGGGAGTCATCCTGAAACAAGGGGACAGAGCAACTCTCGAACTCGCACAAAGCGAGGGGGGACTCCAGGGCCACATTCATCGGGCCAACACTCCCCCTAGGGGTTTCCCAGGGTCCTGAGCGTTTACTATAAGAGGACTCGCGCTCAGGTAATCCCAGGCAGGGTACTGCTAACCGGAGCCGAAATCTACCAAACAACTTTCTAAGAACTGAACCCCCGGGACGTGTACACTCACGGGGACCTAACAGGGGGGGTACCACCAGAAGAAGGAAGAGAACTCAGTACAAAGGGGGCAAGAACCAAAGGCAGACCCCCATCAGGTAGACAAACAAAAAGAAAATCCCGCAAGAGGACAACGTACCCAGGCGGAACACAGCCAGCCACTATGATTGATGAAAACAAAGCTGCGCAGTATCCTGCGCCCCTACCAGTGCAAACTGCCCCTTACCCTAAGGCAAACAAGGGAGACAGAAACCCCATCACAAAAAGGGCGGCCGAAAACCAAACAGTAAATGGCCTAGCAGAAGCAGGACCTAAGGAACTTGTGGATGGTATCCCCAAGCCTCAAGGACAGTACTTACAGGGCACCTAGGGAAGGGAACCCTAGGCGCATGCAGCCCGAGTACTGGAGACTCACTCCCGGCTCACGCACCACCTAGAAGACAGATACCACACTCTAGGTACAGTGCTGAAACAACCACTGGAGCTGGAGCACACAACTGGTGCCTTTAGCACTAGCCTCAGCACTGATGGGTGGATAGCTGGCGTGAGAGGTCTGGGGCTCCCCCGTCCCACTCCCTGGGAGGGGGGAGATGCGCAGACAGCGGCGCAGTGATGTGTGATGTCATACTAGTTTGCTCGTTTTCTGTTGTGGAGTTCTATCCACTAGTTCGACTTTTGGTAGCAATTTTAACCGGAATAGGGGTTTGTTTTGGGATGCTTCCCTTTCTGGATGCATGACCCGGTCGATGGCAGACGTAGAATGCCTCCAACCACACGGGGGTTTCTATAGACCATTGCTCCCCTTGCCTCTCTGAGCGGGCCAGGTTCTGGCCATGAACTCCATACACATGACTGATGCCAAAGTCTGACATTAGCATATCAGCCTGAGATAGCTCCGGGAAGCCGACAGCGCTCCCCCCAGAAGAGAGTTCCATCTTTACAGTTGCAGAATGTTGCAAATAACAACGGCATAAGGTGTAAACGACCATCTCAAGGTATAAAGATCTACCTCTTTAGCAGGTAGATCTTAGCAACAGATGTAGAACTGGCAACATCAACCTGCATTAGGACTACAGAGACCAGTTACATATATTCCCTGTAATTAAGGGGGTGAGGAAACTGCCTTGGGGGGTCTACATGTCTTAATTTTTTCCCACATTGAAGGAAGTGGCCTTAGAGCTTGACACTTTGCCTTCCACAGCTTTAGAAAACCGGCACACTCATTTAGCCGGGCAAAGGGTCATAAACTATAGGATGGACTAGCCTGGGGGATCATATCTGGATCATACCTGAAGTAGGTTCTGGGAGTTCTTCTACTCCCTAAGCCTGGCCCCCTGGCCCAACAGACTTTTGTATGGAGCCGCCCACAGGCCCACACATCTACTACAACTTGGTAAGTCCGGCGCTCCGAGAAAAATTTAGACTGTTTCCTGCAAGCAGTCCACCTTTGCTCTGCCAATATTTCTCATAATTGCTGAGAGAATATTGAACAGCTGTGGACCACTGACATTTATACAGTGTTCTCTGATTGTGACTACGGCACCTCTTCTCTTCACCAGTACTATTCTGCATTTCCTTCCCCATCCTTCACTCAAGTACATGTCATTTGGGATCCATATTTCCAAATTCCTTTCCATGTAGGAGAGAGTTGGCCTCAGATTTATATACTAGTATTTAGCTGAGTGGAGGAATGCTTAGAAGTAGCGAAGATGAAGAGTGACATTCATTGGGAAATAATTTCTCCATCACTAGAAGGACTGGGTTGTTAACGCCAAATACTGTACAATTAAACACAGCACGAAAATAGAAAATATGAGGTAGAAATACCTGTAAATGCAAATTAAATGAAAAGAAAGGCTGACCTATAGCATAATACGGTACGGTACTTAGTACAGAGGATTCACAACTGATTGTACATGAGTTTTATTCTGGGACAGAGCTAGATGTCTTGCAAAGTTTTCTCACACCTGATGCCTCGTTTCACCTAACAGCACTGTAAAGTCCTAGGTGTAGTTGCTTTTACCCTTTTCAAGAATGTCAACAAATTAGGCAAGATTGACGTGTGTTTCACATTGTCGGTGATAGAAAGTCAATTAGGTTGTTTAAGGTTACCATAACTCCTAGGGCTGACCCAGGAAACAATAACCATCGTTACAATGCAACCCACAACAGCTGCCTAAATTCCAGATAACTATTTACTGCCAGATGAACAGAGGCATTAGGTGTAAGAAAACACACCCAAACATTTCGTTCTGCGCGGGAATTAAATTCTGAGACCTCTGGCTGCGCAGGGACTGTGCTGATCAAGACTACTATCACACTGACAAGCACTACGGCATCAGTGAATCAAATTTGATGCAAAGCAACAAATTTCTTTGGGATGAGAAGTAAACCACTACAAAATCGAACACAAGTTGCTCTCAAAGTTGCCACACACACACGCACACACACACATATATAAAGTTATAGTGAGGGGTTAGACCTCAGAATGGCGTGAAGTCACCAGTGGAGTCCTACAGGGCTCTGTACTTGGACCTATCCTGTTTCTGATATACGTTAATGATCTCCCAGAGGGTATAGACTCATTCCTCTCAATGTTTGCTGACGACGCCAAAATTATGAGAAGGATTAAGACAGAGGAGGACAGCTTGAGGCTTCAAGAAGACCTGGACAAGCTGCAGGAATGGTCGAACAAATGGATGTTAGAGTTTAACCCAAGCAAATGTAATGTAATGAAGATAGGGGTAGGAAGCAGGAGACCAGATACAAGGTATCACTTGGGAGATGAAATACTTCAAGAGTCAGAGAGAGAGAAAGACCTGGGGGTTGATATCACGCCAGACCTGTCCCCTGAAGCTCATATCAAGAGGATAACATCAGCGGCATATGCCAGGTTGGCTAACATAAGAACGGCCTTTAGAAACTTGTGTAAGGAATCTTTCAGAACATTATATACCACATATGTCAGACCAATCCTGGAGTATGCGGCTCCAGCATGGAGTCCATATCTAGTCAAGCATAAGACTAAACTGGAAAAGGTTCAAAGGTTTGCCACCAGACTAGTACCCGAGCTGAGAGGTATGAGCTACGTGGAGAGACTACGGGAATTGAACCTCACTTCATTGGAAGACAGAAGAGTTAGGGGGGACATGATCACCACATTCAAGATTCTCAAGGGAATCGACAGGGTTGATAAAGACAGGCTATTTAACACAAGGGGCACACGCACTAGGGGACACAGGTGGAAACTGAGTGCCCAAATGAGCCACAGAGATATTAGAAAGAACTTTTTTAGTGTCGAGAGTGGTTGACAAATGGAATGCATTAGGAAGCAATGTGGTGGAGGCTGACTCCATACACAGTTTCAAGTGTAGATATGATAGAGCCCAATAGGCTCAGGAACCTGTACACCTGTTGATTGACGGTTGAGAGGCGGGACCAAAGAGCCAGAGCTCAACCCCCGCAAGCACAACTAGGTGAGTACACAGAACAATTTTCACTCCACCACACAACTCTTTCAACGTTGGATAAATTTTTCCCTTGTAATTTTCAGGTTAGCATATGGATGAACAACACATATAATGCCAACAATGCACCGAGAAATGCAGTCGCCCAATTTTACTTGTCTAGAAATAATTGTGAATTTTGTTTACAATTTAAATTATTAAATGTAATGCCATACTCTTATATTCACCCATCCCTCTAAACCAAACAAACAAAACGAAGAGAAGCATGAACAACTGACCAATGTCACAGTGTTCTAAAAGGAACAATTGAAAAAGTAATGCAGATGAATATACTGTATTTCATACGTAAAACTTAATAAAAACAACATTAGGAGGATTCAACAATTACAAGAGATGATAAAATTAGGAAGATTTTTTTCTTCATTTAAAGAAAATAAATTTCACAAACGAGCACTGTACCTTCCTTGGCGTCACGACCGGTGAGTATGAAACAACTTCTGGTAAGTCATTATCATCACTCTCACTGACAGTCGAGTCCGGCAGCACCACAATCGACCGCTCCCTGTGGTCACTGTCATTCTCAAACGCCCGCTCCCCCTCATCATCATCGTCGACCTCTGCCTCGGCCTGTGGGGCTCTCATCTCCTGCTGGTTCTCAAACTCTCGAGGGTTCTGCTGTCTCAGCCTCCCGTCACCCTCAACGCCTGCATCGGTTTCTGACCCATCCTCATCTAGGAGACTCCTCGTTTCTGCTGGGTCAACAGGCTGAAGGAGAAAGCCACAGATTTTTAATACGTCCATGCCCGAGAAAATCTCTGGTAACGAGGAGACTTGTACTCTCATGATAGGTTCTTGTTATGGATGAATAAATCCAAAAGTCTCAATTACTGTAATAATTTTATGACTAGATTAAAATATTTTATTATCAATTCAAGAGGCCCAATAGTAACGTGAAAAATATTTGGGAAGTACAGTATTGTCTGAAATTCCTTGCTCTTATTTGAGCTTCACTGAATATGAAATGTGTACGAACTACTGTACCCTCATGCCTATTTATACTCAAAGTTGGTTGAGAAACATCTGAGCTGGACCAGCTTGCCAATACCTAAATCTGGATTTACACTCCTCGGCACAGAAGCCAGGTACCTTTGCGACCCTATACAACACAGAGGATGATGTGAAGGACCCGCTGCAAGGACTGCTGACAAGAGTTTACCCTGACAGGCTTTCAGTACTCACTTTAACAACAGCAGTCACAATACTGTACAAGCCACTTGCAATGATCTAAGTACTGTATCACTAGAGACCAGGGTGGTACTATATAGCTGGAGATTAATGTTTTATTGTCTCGTGTCCACCAAACGATGGTTAAGTAACGCAAGGCACCAGTCATAGTATGTATTCTATAAAAGTACAAATCCCAACCTACCTACCTGTTGAAGATTCCGGGGATTAATGTCCACGCAGCCCGGTCACTGACAACGCCTCCTGGTTGATGCGCATCAAACAGTCCGGTATGATCCACCAGGCTGTTTGATGCGGCTGCTCGCAACCTAAGTCACAGCCTGGTTAATCAGGTATCCTTTGAAGGTGCTTGTCAAGTTCTCTTTTAAACCCTGCGAGAAGTTGGCCAGCTATGCCCTGTATGTGTGGGGAGAAGTGTGTTGAAAAGTCTTGGGCCTTTGATGTTGATCGAGTTGTCTCTCAGCATGCCTAATGCACCTCTGCTCTTCAGTGGGGCTATTTTGCACATTCTGCCATGCCTTCTGGTCTCATGTAGTCTTATTTCTGTGTGCAGATTTGGGACCAGTCCTTCTAATATTTTCCAAGTAATGATTACCTGGTTGATACCTGGTTGATGGGGTACTTGGAGTTCTTCTACTCCCCAAGTCTGGCCCGAGGCCAGGCTTGACTTGTGAGAGTTTGGTCCACCAGGCTGTTGCTTGGAGTAGCCCGCAGGCTCACATACCCACCACAGCCCGGCTGATCCGGAACTTCTCTTAGAAAACAGTCTAGTTTTCTCTTGAAGATGTCCATGGTTGTTCCGGCAATATTTCTGATGCTCGCTGGGAGGACGTTGAACAACCGCGGATATGTGATGTTTATACAGTGTTCTCTGATTGTGCCTATGGCATCTCTGCTCTTCACTGGTTCTATTCTGCATTTTCTTCCATATCGTTCACTCCAGTACGTTGTTATTTTCCTGTGTAGATTAGGGACCTTGCCTTCCAGTATTTTCCATGTGTATATTATTTGGTATCTCTCTCGTCTCCTTTCTAGTGAGTACATTTGGAGAGCTTTGAGACGATCCCAATAATTTAGGTGCTTTATCGCGTCTATGCATGCCGTATATGTTCTCTGTATTCCCTCAATTTCAGCAATCTCTCCTGCTTTGAAGGGGGAAGTAAGTACTGAGCAGTACTCGAGACGGGACAACACAAATGACTTGAAGAGTACAACCATTGTGATGGGATCCCTGGATTTGAAAGTTCTCGTAATCCATCCCATCATTTTTTTGGCTGACGCAATATTTGCTTGGTTATGCTCCCTAAACATTAGGTCATCGACATCATTATTCCCAAATCCTTGACATGCTGTTTACCTATGATGGGCAGATTCGATTGTGTTTTGTACTCTGTATTATGTTTCAGGTCCTCATTTTTGCCGTACCTGAGTACCTGGAATTTATCGCTGTTAAACATCATGTTATTTTCTGCTGCCCAATCGAAAACATTGTTGATATCCGGTTGTAATTTTTCAATGTCCTCAGCAGAGATAATTTTCATGCTGATTTTTGTGTCATCTGCAAAGGATGACAGGTCAACAAGCCTGTCAGATGACAGATGACAGCACCGACAAACAAAGAGCCAGGCCCAGGAGCTGAGGGCATGGGCATATTGTCAATTTCTCTTTCAAAGTCTTCCGAGTTTGTGTTAATATCCGTTATATTATCTGCAGCTTGAATGTCATTCATAAAGAAGCTGTCTGGGTCATCAACTTTCATGTTGTTTATTGGTGTGCTAAACATAGCCTCATACTGGCTTCTTAGAATTTCACTAATTTCTTTGTTGTCCTCAGTGTACGTACCTTCAGTTGTAATTAAAGCAAGTATGTATGGAAGCTAAGCAGAAGCACCAGCAGAAAAAAAATTCTCATCAATTTGGGCTTCAATTTAATGATTGCAAATGAGCCTGAAGTGAAGTATAAAGGCAGCAGGTGAAAACTGAGTCAAAGTTACAGTCAAGTACATCCAATAAATAGAGGTCTAACCTCACCAATTATAATGTCACTGTTAGTTTATCACTTTTTATTAAAGGTAAAAGAATTAGGGATAAATAAACCTACATTAAGAGTATTAGTGGCATTTATACTGCTTTATAAATTACCATATTTGCCGGCAGATAGGACAAGTGCTGAGGGTCTACCAATTGAGGTTACTGTATATTATATTTACATGAACAAATACTGTAGTAGTTTTCCCCAACAAAATTACTTGAATATAACTTTCAATAAATGTATGATGAAATATTCAATATATTTTTTGTGGGGGAGGGGAGGGGAAGCAAGTCTGTGGGAGGGTCAAGTGTGGGGGGAGGGGCAAGTGTGGGGGGGGGAGGGGCAAGTCTGTGGGAGGGTCAAGTGTGGGGGGGAGGGGAGGCAAGTCTGTGGGAGGGGCAAGTGTGGGGGGGAGGGGCAAGTGTGGGGGGGAGGGGAAAGTGTGGGGGGGAGGGGCAAGTGTGGGGGGGAGGGGCAAGTGTGGGGGGGAGGGGCAAGTGTGGGGGGAGGGGCAAGTGTGGGGGGAGGGGCAAGTGTGGGGGGGGAGGGGCAAGTGTGGGGGGGAGGGGCAAGTGTGGGGGGGAGGGGCAAGTGTGGGGGGAGGGGCAAGTGTGGGGGGGAGGGGCAAGTGTGGGGGGAGGGGCAAGTGTGGGGGGAGGGGCAAGTGTGGGGGGGAGGGGCAAGTGTGGGGGGAGGGGCAAGTGTGGGGGGGAGGGGCAAGTGTGGGGGGGAGGGGCAAGTGTGGGGGGAGGGGCAAGTGTGGGGGGAGGGGGCAAGTGTAGGGGATGGGCAAGTGTGGGGGAAGGGGCAAGTGTGGGGGGGAGGGGCAAGTGTGGGGGGGAGGGGCAAGTGTGGGGGGGAGGGGCAAGTGTGGGGGGGAGGGGCAAGTGTGGGGGGGAGGGGCAAGTGTGGGGGGGAGGAGCAAGTGTGGGGGGGAGGGGCAAGTGTGGGGGGAGGGGGCAAGTGTAGGGGATGGGCAAGTGGGGGGGGAGGGGCAAGTGTTGGGGGGAGGGGGCAAGTGTGGGAGGGAGGAGGCAAGTGTGGGGGGGAGGGGCAAGTGTGGGAGGGAGGAGGCAAGTGTGGGGGGGAGGGGCAAGTGTGGGAGGGAGGGGGCAAGTGTGGGGGGAGGGGCAAGTGTGGGGGGAGGGGCAAGTGTGGGGGGAGGGGCAAGTGTGGGGGGAGGGGCAAGTGTGGGAGGGAGGAGGCAAGTGTGGGAGGGAGGAGGCAAGTGTTGGGGGAGGGGCAAGTGTGGGGGGGAGGGGCAAGTGTTGGGGGAGGGGCAAGTGTGGGAGGGAGGAGGCAAGTGTGGGAGGGAGGAGGCAAGTGTGGGAGGGAGGAGGCAAGTGTGGGGGGAGGGGCAAGTGTGGGGGGGAGGGGCAAGTGTGGGGGGGAGGGGCAAGTGTGGGAGGGAGGAGGCAAGTGTGGGGGGGAGGGGCAAGTGTGGGGGAAGGGGCAAATGGGGGGGAAGGGGCAAATGGGGGGGAAGGGGCAAATGGGGGGGGGAAGGGGCAAATGGGGGGGGGGAAGGGGCAAATGGGGGGGAAGGGGCAAATGGGGGGGGGAAGGGGCAAATGGGGGGGGGAAGGGGCAAATGGGGGGGGGAAGGGGCAAATGGGGGGGGGAAGGGGCAAATGGGGGGGGGAAGGGGCAAATGGGGGAGGGGAGGAGGCAAGTGTGGGGTGAGGGGCAAGTGTGGGGTGAGGGGCAAGTGTGGGGTGAGGGGCAAGTGTGAGGGGAGGGGCAAGTGTGAGGGGAGGGACAAGTGTGGGGGGAGGGGCAAGTGGGAGGGACCACGAGGAGAAACCAAAAATTGTAACTTTGGCATGACAAATATGCTGGCAAATAAATTGGGCTTCACTCCAGCCCAATTAACCATTTCAAATTAAGAGTTGCACCGCGACGTTTATTATCTATAACCAGTAATGTAGTACCGTATATGTCGGCATCGAAGTCGACCTGCCACATAAGTCGACCCCAAAAATTTTGAGGTGTAATTCAGGTTTAGGCTTATATTCAGCGCATAAGATGACCCCCGAAAATAAGGCAGCACCACTTCCCCTGCCCCGCTGTATGGAAAGAAAAAACCAGCGTTGAATGTAATGAAACGCCATTTTCTGGGTGAGCCCCGGAGGCTCCCTGCAGCTATCGGACCGATATGTGATATATTAGTCTGGGGCATCAGTCAATTGGAGTTCAGCCTACAATGGGACCACGAGCCAGAACCTGGTCCCCTCAGAAAGACAAAAGGAGCAATGGCCTATGGAAACCCCCTTGTATTTGGGGGCAATCCGTGTCTGCCATTAACCAGGGTTAGCACCCAGAAAGATTGGCATAACAAAACATACCCCATATGGTAAAAAAAAATTGCAACCAAAGACCGAACAGAAAGGTAGAACTCCCCCGAGCCTAAAGAAAGAAGCAACTAAACAAACGTTACACACCACCACAGCGCCGCTTGTCCGTGCAGCCCTCCCCCTCCCTAGGTAGGGGCTGCGGGAGGGGGAAGACCTGGACCACCCCATGCCGGCTACTCACACCTCTAGTTCAGAGGCCGAGCATCAAGACAAAAAGAAAACCGCCGACCAGATTGAGGGACCCTGCAGACGACCTGAGAGACTCGAGCCCTGGAACAGGGAACGAAGGAAACCGGATCAACCCAAAGCTCGGCCTCAGCCACAGAAAACCGAGGCGTGCAAAGAACCGCAAAGAGCCGCAACCGTACACAACCCATGCACCCTCGGCCAGACCAACCAAGCATCAATGAACCAAGGGGCCCCCAGAAAGCAGCCGACTCATTTTCTGGCAGAAAAGAAGGAGACGGCTGCAACCAAACACACCGACCACCAGGACCGAAAGAGCAGAAAGCCCTGTGCCGGAGGAGAGCATGAAGCTCACCAACCCGACCCCAAGAGACCAATGCCAACAGAAACTGCTCCTTGGAAAAATAACCTTGAACCGAAGGGGCCACCACAAACTGGGGAGAAGAGATAAAAAAAAGAGAGCACCCGATCCAAGGACCAGGACCGCTCAGGTGTCGCATGAGCAGGCTGGAGGCGAAACAAGGCGGGAGAAAACTTACGGAACGGGGGCGGAAGTGACATCCACCCCGAATGCAAGCTAAAGTGGCTCTGGCAGCACTGCACGATAAGAGGCAACAGTATGCAGCACCAAATGACGGTCCTGAAAAAAACAAGAAAAGACAAAAGAACCTGATGAGAAAAAGAAGACAACCTACGGAGAAAGAAAATGGCGAAAAGAACACCAGAAAAATTTCATACCATCACCGAGATGAAGCTTACAGGTGGAACACCATCAACGAAGCCACCTGATCACCATACAAGTGGTGATACACCCGTGTCAAAAAGACCAGACACGAAGTGCGAAGGAGTAGACCAAACCAGCCATGTACGGGATCATTTCGATCTGCTGAAAGCGGCGGAGCCGCTGAAAATGGCCTGGATTCGGACACTAAGCAAGCAGCGCCTGAAACCAAGGATGGGCCGGCCACCAAGGGGCCACCAGTAAGACTCTCCCCTGGTAAGTCTCCAACCAAGCCAGGACCCGCAGCAACAGCTGGACCATGGGGAAAGATGTATAGGTAATCCCACCTCGACCAGTCCTGCCGAAGGGCATCCACCGTGACGGCTCCACAGTCGGGAAGGGCGCCATATATATCGGGAGACGCTACCACAAAGAGGTCCACCTCCGAGAGCTCGTACGACTGTCAGAGCCAAGTGAAGGAGTCGGCGTCGACCATCTATTCTGTAGACAGGGGAATGAACCAAGACAGGCCGACCATTAAGACATAGGACACTCCCTGAAAATGAACCGCACAGAAAGCCAAACCCCGAGAAACCAGCAGACGAGTCACTCGAAGGGACCAGACCCAAAGAGTCAAGGACCGAAGAGAACTCCTGCGGTTCAGGCAACGAACCACCAGAGAGCAGTCCGAATCGAGCCAAATCACTGAACCCTAAGTGACCCGAACCCTCCGAAGTGAAAACCAAGTCACCTCTAACTCCTGCACCATGCTGTGAGCCCGACAGAAGGACTGAGCCCACCGTCCCCGGCCGGCCCGGTGAGACTAGTCATAAAACCCCAGCCAAGAGACAACGCATCCGTGAACACATCAAGCGAGGGTTCGAGTAGGTGTCAAGGCACTGAACCCCGAAAAACCCAAAGAGGAAGCCAACGACGCAGCAACCGACACAAGGCCCCTGGAGGCTGAACCCAGCGATCACAAGAGAGGCAGAAGGAACCCAAACAGATGCCGCAGCCAGACCCAACTCGGCAGGGAAACCAACACGGCGAAGTTCAGATTCCACACAACTGCTCGAGCAACCGCCGAGTGACCTTGGAACTCCTCAGAAACAGCTGAAGGTGAGACTGCAGCCTCAGCAACGCCTACAGAGGGAGAGACATGGAAGCGATCCAAGAGTCCCACACAAGGGTTGGGAGCCGGTCGGCCGAGCGGACAGCACGCGGGACTTGTGATCCTGTGGTCCTGGGTTCGATCCCAGGTGCCGGCGAGAAACAATGGGCAGAGTTTCTTTCACCCTATGCCCCTGTTACCTAGCAGTAAATTAGGTACCTGGGTGTTAGTCAGCTGTCACAGGCTGCTTCCTGGGGGTGGAGGCCTGGTCGAGGATCGGGCCACGGGGACACTAAAAGCCCCGAAATCATCTCAAGATAACCTCAAGATAAGAAAGGCGCAACCAGGTGTGAACCTGGGATGGAACCAGATGGGACTTCCTCCAGATCACCAGGAACCTGAACATGGCAAACCAGGAAAGAACCACCCCTACAGTGAGCAGACCAGCAGACTGGCTGGGAACCAACACCAACCAGCCATTGAGGTGGGGCAACACCCAAAAACCAAGCAGATTTAGATGGGCCAGCATGAACCGGGTAAGACATGGAAATGCGAGGTCCCAAAAGCCAGCCAAAAGAAAGGCAATGAAGATGAGAAGCACACCACCCCACCACGAAACGGAACCAGTCCCTGAAACCCAGATGAAGCGGGACAAGCCAGCACACATCCCAATGGGCCACAGACACCACCCAACAACACGGCCCCGAAAGAAACCAGATCTGGGACCGAGTCATCCAAAAGGAAGCCAGCGGTATAGACAAGACAAAACCAGAATGAACCAAAGATCCGCACAGTCCCGTTGTGGGATTGAAACAAGATGTCCCGACAGAGAGAAGGGGAAGATGCCCGCCGCACCAGCTCCGAACCCCTTCAGACTAGGAGGAGCTGCCGCCCAACGCCACCACAGGCCGGAGGACACGACCCAAACTGCCCACAAATTGTAGGACAAAGCGTGGTCAAACAGAGCCAGCCTTTTCCCCCAGTGCCCTGCCAACGGGGTGACCTGCAAACGGACCAGCACCCCCTCCAAGATAAAAAAAAAATTTAAATAAAAAAAAAAAAAAAAGAATAATGCAATACAATACAATAACCCGACTTGCGAGCAGAGCGAGCACCACGCCGACCAGACGAAGACGGCTCCGGAGGAGGCATCTACACAAAAGCTGCACCAAAGCCCACCTTGACAATCAGAAGCTGGAGCCCTGGCACGACCACAAAATACCTGCCAAGACCCAAGAATCGCAGTCTGCAAGCCAGGAAGACCCTGGAATCGCAGAAGAGGAAAGATTGGGGCACACAGGAGGTAACCAAGGACCTTCCAAACCTCGAAAAGGAAACCCAAGAGGAAGAAAACTTCCAGAACGAAACTGAAGAGACCAAAGGATCCCAGAAACGATCCCGGGGAAAGCCCTAACCACCGCATTTGCCGGTGTAAAATACACCACAGAAAGGAAGGGAAAACACAAGACCCAGACAGAACCACCGGCAAAAACGGCCAGAAACGGACCGAAAACCGAGGGATATAAGGTGTGGGAGCAATCAGAGCAAACAGGTTCGAACACTAGGCCCAAAAACCAGGACCCAGAACCCAAACACAGAAAAAACACAAAACCAGGTCAAAAAAACAAAACCTAAAAGTTTCCAGAGCAGCAGAAAGGGCAAAAAGCCCCATAAGAAAGAACAAAACAGACACACGGCAATAGGAGGATAAAAAACTCCAGACTGAGGGGAAAAAATGCCCCCAAAATGTGAGTGCACACTCCCAGGCACATGTAAACAAACAAACATCAGCGCCGCCCTGGCAGCCAAGCAGGGAAGCGTCCGCAAAAAAAAGAAAATGGCCACCAAAACAAAAGGAGACACGGCTGATGTAGGGGAGCCGAAATCACAGCAGCAAATGTAGGAAAACGAGCAGACGGGAGGAGGGAGGAAAACCTTCCCTCCTAGAAGGCACAAAGCCCTAGCAGGAGCAAACAGCCCCAGAACTGCTAGCGGGCTTCCCCCACAGGCCCAGGAACCCTCAACAGAGGCCCCGAGGCAGAGCCGTCCTCCAAGCCCTCTGCCTTTAAAGAAAAGCAAGAGTCAATGGGAAAGGCAGCAAGAAAGGGCCGCTGGTAAGACCCAGAAGCCTTGGCAGGAGGAACCGGCTCGAAAACCTCCGTCCTCCAACCCGAACAAGGCAGCCCCCGAAAACCGCCCGAGTCTCAGCCCCAACTAAACTCCGCCCCGACCCCGAAACCCGCAGACGGTACGGAGCTGGGAACAGAGAGGGAAAGGGGCGAACAGCACCTAACCAAAACAGGGAGGTCTCGGAGCATCCACTGGTCTACTGTGCCTCAACGAGGTTTTCTAGGGCCCGCAGGTTGACTGTTATGGGAAACCCAGGCAAGGTGCTACAAAGCTGGTGAGACCCAAGAGCTAACAAAGGGAAATGTGCTAAAAATTGAACCCCCTGCGACGTGCACAATCACGGGGGCCTAGAGGAGGGCCACCAACAACCTTAAGTGGACCAATAACCAAACAAGGCAGATCCCCCTCCTGGCAAGGAAAACAAAAGGAAAACTCCACAAAAGTACAACGTCTCTAGAAGGAACAGGCACATGGCCGCCGCATAGGTAGGCAAGCTGTGTAGCACCTTGAGCCCCAACCAGCAACAAGACCACTTCCTACCCAACCTTACCTTAAGGTTACCTTGAGGTGCATCCGGGGCTCAGCGTCCAAGCGGCCCGGGCGTCGGCCAGGCATCCTGGTTGCTGGACTGCTCAACCAGGCTGTTAAGACGCGGCTGCTCGCAGCCTGATGTATGAGTCACAGCCTGGTTGATCAGGTATTCTTTGGAGGTGCTTATCCAGTTCTCTCTTGAACACTGTGAGGGGTCGGCCAGTTATGCCCCTTATGTGTAGTGGAAGCGTGTTGAACAGTCTCGGGCCTCTGATGTTGATAGAGTTCTCTCTCAGAGTACCTGTTGCACCTCTGCTTTTCAATGGGGGTATTCTGCACATCCTGCCATGTCTTCTGGTCTCATGTGATGTTATTTCTGTGTGCAGGTTTGGGACCAGCCCCTCAATTATTTTCCATGTGTAAATTATTATATATCTCTCCCGCCTGCGCTCAAGGGAGTACAGATTTAGGCTCTTTAGTCGGTCCCAGTAATTTAGATGTTTTACTGAGTGGACTCTAGCAGTAAAGGATCTCTGCACGCTCTCCAGGTCAGCAATTTCCCAAGGTCAAACAAAGGCCACGAAACCCCAGCTGGCCTCAAGGGCTGGGCAAATGCCGAGCAGCAAGAACCCTACAGAAGCGGTTTCCCAAAGGTACTATGGAAGGCAACTCTAGCACACAAGCGTAGTACTTACAGAGTGTCTAGGGAAGGTATCCCTAAGCACATGCAGCCTTACACCTGGCCATAGCATCACAATACCGCAGAGAACACCACTAAGGTGAAACACTGCCAAGAAATCGAGGACAGAGTTGACAACCGCCCCAGATTGCAATAGCCAACGAACTGGAGGTCTGAGTAGCCGGCACAGGGGTGGGGTCTGGGGCTCCCCCTTCCCCCTCCTGGGGAGGGGAGGGTTGCACGGACAAGCGGCACGGTAGCGGTGTGTGACGTTTGCTTGATTCTTTAGGTTGAGAGAGTTCTGCCTCTGTGTTTGATCTTCGGTTGCAATTTTTTCGTACAATGTAGGGATCTGTTTTGTTATGCCAACCTTTCTGGGTGCTAACCCCGGTTAATAGCAGATATGGAATGCCCCAAGTACAAGGGAAGTTTCCATAGGCCATTGCACCCTTTGCCTCTGAGGGGACCAGGTTTTGGTTCGTGGTCCCAGAAGGCTGAACTCCAATTGACTGATGCCTCAGACTAATATATCACATATCAGTCCGGTAGCTGCAGGGAGCCGGAAGGGCTCCCCACAGAAAACCGAGTATCTCAAATATATAGTAGCTTAACAAATATTTACCGCATAAGGTAGGTGATGTCAGTGGTTGTCACAGGAGGCTAGGTTGCTAAGTCACTGGAGTGGAAGGTGACTGGTTTAAATATCATTGGTACCTATTTAACGCAATGATTTTGTCAAGTTAAAAAAAAAACAATCATCACCTAGTGTAATGAAATGCCTCTTCCGTTTCAGTCCTCGGTGGCTCCCTGTTGCTAGCCACTCCAAATAGCTCCACACCAAAGAGGCTCTTGCTAGTCATTAACAGCCCACCAAAAGCCAAAACTTGGTCCTCTCACAGAGGTGCAAGGAGCAGGGGATGCTAGATCACTCTAAGCAAGGAAATAGCCACCAGAAAGGTTGAGAGAGAGAGAGAGACAAAATGGATAAGAGTAAGGCAAAAGTAGACAAAACAGAAAATGAATTGCCCAGCAGTTTGGTTGGTACACCTCCCAGCACCAGGCTGCAGCACCAGGAGCTGGTGGTTCAGGAGGTGGACTCTCTCCAGCCATGGGCTGAACCAAGACTAACTGAGGCTCCTGAAGGAGGGAGGGAATTAGCAGGAGAAAGTGCCAAGCCATTGCATCTATATAACACTGAGAAGGGGTCAGGATAAGGATTTGGGATAGAACAGGGGGAAGGAATGGTGCCCAACCACTCTGATGGTTGAGAATTGAACGCCGACCTGCATGAAGCGAGACCGTCGCTCCACCATCCACCCGAAGTTGTTGGGCAGCTCCTGAGGGAAAGGGAGGGAGGGTCCATGAAGCCACAATGGACCCACCAGAAAGAGGCATTTCATTACATTCAATGCTGGGATTCTGGTAGGGCTTCTCAGATGGAAGAGCTGCAGCTATCTCACTACAGGAAACAAATAGAAAAAACGAGACTCATCAGAAGCTGAGGAGAACAGAAGAGCACAACCCCAAAGGAGGGGTGGAATCAACCACGGATAAACCTACCTAATGCCACACATGCCCAGTGCAGCCCCTTTCAGTTGTGATAATCACATTTTTGAGTCATTTTGGCAAGCATTAATGCTTATATAACACAGTACTATAAACTACTTTTCTAACCTGAACTTCATTAAACTATTTTTATGGTGTATATAATTTAGTTGGCAAAATACTGCAGGTACACGAGTTCAATCTTATAAAGCAGCCGGTCTGCAGCAGGTCACTAAATTAAGTTGATAAAATAGCCAGTACGCAAGTACAGTAGTCAATAAATGAAATTGATAAAACAGCCAGTACGCAAGTAGTCAATAAATTAAATCCTATTAAATGGCAAGTACACAGCAGGGCAATGGAATCAACATTATATAACAGCCAGTGTCTGCATACCAATTAACGAACTTCCCATTCACACACACACACTACATGCACGTGATGTTAGTAAGATGGGACTCCCATAACTATCGTCGTGCATGACATTCTCCACCTCTCAGTTACGTTTTTAATATCTACTGTTTTGCCATTACAGTATGTAATTTATGAAACGGATTACTGCGTAACATAATAAGACATGGGATCATTGGTTAGTTGCATCCACTGATTAGATATATAAGAGAGCTTGGTTGAACACAAATAGGAGCTCATCTGAAGGTACTTTTAATGTCAGGAAAACACTGTTTGTGGGAGTACTCCCTTTAATGGAAGAAATGAATCAGAGGAACAAATTCCCGAATAAAACCTCACAGTAATCAAATACAACACTGCTGCAATAAAAAATATCATGGAGCATTGTAGAAAGATTTTACTTCCCAACACGGGATTAAAAATTAAATATGTTTAATAACAAAAAATTCTGAGCGTCTTCACTGATAACAAAACAAGAAGTAAATAGGTAAAGTAATATTGTCCTTACTTCAATACTCCTCGGTCCACCTATTTCGTTGACAACTTTAACGCTGTCCTTAGAACCATAATGCTGCTGCTTCTCACGAGACTGTTTCCGACTTGCCTTCTTTTTGACAGGAGGTGCAGCAGCAGCGGCCACAATGCTGTCCCCTTTGCCACCTGTCTCTTCCTCACATTCACGAGCAAGCAGCACTGACATACGCATCTAAAAAGAGTGTAAACAATATAATAAACTAATTACTGTAAGTAATTTGAAATAAAACAGCTTAGATGATGAGAAAATACCAAGGCTGTACAGTGGAAATGAACCCGCGTCCAGGGTCGAGGGTTCGATCCCATCATATGGTTTTCAACATTATCTTTACGGATATATAAAATTCTTGTGATTTTATTGCATATTAAATTACAAACAACTACTGTAATAAGGACTTTTTAATACTTTAATAGAGTGAAGAAACTGAATAGTATAAATGAGATACGAGGAAAGAGAGAATGTCAGCAAAGATGCAAGTCAGGTACAACATGTGAGTGCTTGGTGAGGTAAGGTATGCATATCAAGAATGTATAAATGACAAGGAGTCAAAAAGTGGATGCAGTGCATCATGAGGGAGTGAATCTTTCTACCTCGAGTTGGTTCCAAGGATCAATGACTCGGTGACCTGGTCTCTGACCGAACCTCCTGGTTGGTAGTCTGGTCAACCAAGCTAACATGCATTATGGTAATATACAGTGAACATATTGTAACATTTAATCCATGAAGCGACAGAGACTTTGATGTGGATGCTTTGCTTGAGGTGGCTCTGGCTTTCCACAACAGCAGCAGCGTGATACAGTATATCTATGAGAAAAGATTTTTGAGCGATGCCTCGGAATTAAACTTGCGTCTCTGGTCACTCCACACATACACATTACACACAAGACCATGGTGATCAGAGTCATTAGCTCAAAAAAAGATTCTCAATGTTATCTTTACTAGTACGGTATCACCAAATGGACAGAATAGTCATCACCAGTCATCAACCAGTCATCACCTTCGATTAGAGAATAAACGAGGGTGATGACTGGTGTTGATGATGGGCAACTGTACATAAACATAATGCTCACCTCGGTAACTACCCCGGATGGGTTATTTGAGTCACAGGAGCTGGGGGGACGGTCTGTTTGAGTGGTAGAATCTTCCACCGAGCCAGCCCCTGATCGAACAGTTATGCTTTCGATGAAACATCTGCAACACAAACATGTTGGACATGATCTTGAGTCAACTAGATATAGTTCAACTACACAATGGTAATCACAGAAAGTACCTTCCTGCTGGTATCTTTCCCAGGCAAATGAGGTTTGAAATGCTGGGGGTGTCAGGTGGTGGATTCTGCTGGTGGGGGAGTATTGGGTGCTGAAGGGGGGGGGGGAGTGTTGGGTGCTGGAGGGGGAAGTGTTGGGTGCTGGAGGGGGAAGGGTTGGGTGCTGGAGGGGGAAGGGTTGGGTGCTGGAGGGAGAGGGGGGGAGGTGGTTGGGTGCTAGAGGGAGGGGGGGGGAGGTGGTTGGGTGCTGGAGGGGGGGAGTGTTGGATGCTGGAGGGGGGAGTGTTGGGTGCTGGAGGGGGGGGGGGAAGTGTTGGGTGCTGGAGGGGGGGAGTGTTGGGTGCTGGAGGGAGGGGGGGAAGTGTTGGGTGCTGAAGAGGGGAGTGTTGGGTGCTGGACGGAGGGGGGGGAAGTGTTGGGTGCTGAAGAGGGGAGTGTTGGGTGGGAGTGACAATGGAAGTAACACTAGCAGACATGCACTGTGATCAAGGAAAATGCTAAAAGACAGGTGGGGATGAGAAGGAACAAGTTCTGGTGGTATAATAAGTATGGGAGATAGGGAAGGTAAGGAAAGAGTTGAATAGACAAGGAGAGAAGAGGGGAAGGGTGGAGACACAAGGTGGTGACGGTAATATGAGGTGGTGGACACTGGGTGGTGGTGGTGGTGACACTGGGTGGTGGTGATGGTGGTGGTTGCAATATTAAAACGGTAGAACCTCAGGGTAGCGGACATCCCTCTTTCCGAATTTTTCAAGTTACGACCTCAATTTCTTTGGAAAATTTGAATCAGGTTATGACCTTTGCCTCGCCTTGCGACTTTGTTGATACACGTATGGGTGGACCAAGCACGTGGTGCCTGGTGTCACGGACGAGGCACGCTTCAGGTTACCTGTCTCCTGCCTAGTGATGATCACGCTTGAATATTGTATTTGGGAGGATAACAGGATGGATGGTGGGGGGACTGGATGGATGGTGAGGGGACTGGATGGATGGTGAGGGGACTGGATGGATGGTGAGGGGACTGGATGGATGGTGGGGGGACTGGATGGATGGTGAGGGGACTGGATGGATGGTGAGGGGACTGGATGGATGGTGAGGGGACTGGATGGATGGTGAGGGGACTGGATGGATGGTGGGGGGACTGGATGGATGGTGAGGGGACTGGATGGATGGTGAGGGGACTGGATGGATGGTGAGGGGACTGGATGGATGGTGAGGGGACTGGATGGATGGTGGGGGGACTGGATGGATGGTGGGGGGACTGGATGGATGGTGAGGGGACTGGATGGATGGTGAGGGGACTGGATGGATGGTGAGGGGGCTGGATGGATGGTGGGGGGACTGGATGGATGGTGAGGGGACTGGATGGATGGTGGGGGGACTGGATGGATGGTGAGGGGACTGGATGGATGGTGAGGGGGCTGGCTGGATGGTGGGGGGACTGGATGGATGGTGAGGGGACTGGATGGATGGTGAGGGGGCTGGATGGATGGTGAGGGGGCTGGATGGATGGTGAGGGGGCTGGATGGATGGTGAGGGGACTGGATGGATGGTGAGGGGACTGGATGGATGGTGAGGGGACTGGATGGATGGTGAGGGGACTGGATGGATGGTGAGGGGACTAGATGGATGGTGAGGGGACTGGATGGATGGTGAGGGGACTGGATGGATGATGGGGGGACTGGATGGATGGTGAGGGGACTGGATGGATGGTGAGGGGACTGGATGGATGGTGAGGGGACTGGATGGATGGTGGGGGGACTGGATGGATAGATAGATGGTGAGGGGACTGGATGGATAGATAGTGTGACGGTGTTCCCCCCCCCTTATATTTCTCCCACGCCTGCAGTAAGAGTCATGTCCACTTTACCCGAGCGTTCTCTACGTCGCAGGCATCAGTTTGATATGTGTAGGAGAATGTAGTGTTCTCGAAGTGCCGAGAAATTCATAGAAGAAGAGTATTTTGGCCTGTGGTTTAGGCCCTTTAGGAAGCCAATATGGCGCTGGCTCTTCTGTTTTCCTGCCAAAACTGTGTGACGTCAGTGACACCAGATTGGTCACCGACAGCGACGTGGCACAGGGAGCCAATGAAAACCTCCCGTGGCGAATATGACGTCACGAAGGAAGGAGGGTCCGGTCATCGCGCCGCGCTGGTGCCATCAGTCTAAGACAGCACGTCAAGGAGGTCAGACGTGCGCTGGGGGTCCTGTGAGTTGGACAGTTTACCCCGTCTCCGGAGGATTTACGCATCACCCGTGGTCTGCCATCACCTGTGGGGTCTTCCTTCGTTCATGTGTTGGACCAGAGAAGGAATTGACAGAATATTGAGCAACAAGTGCTCCAGGAACAGGTGTTGTGCAAGAGTGGAGTCTAGGCAGCGACGTATGCGACCGCTGATAGCTCCACAGTGATGACGTAGTGGATGGGCCAATCCTCCGGAGGGAATCAGTCTGACACGACACGTCAAGGTGGTTGGACGTGCGAATATTGGTCCTGTCAGTTTGACAGTTGTTTCCCGCTCCCGTGGATTTTACGCGTCACCCGAAGTCTGCAAGTACTCTGTGAGGTCTTCCTTCGTTCATGTGTTGGACCAGAGAGGGAATCGACGGGATATTGAGCAACAAGTGCTCCAGGACAGGTACTGTGCAAGAAGAAGTGAAGTCTGTGCAGTGACGTATGCGACGTCTGAGGCAGTTCACCCGTTTGTGATGGCGTAGTGGCTGGACCGAGTCACCGGGAAGCAGTGGAAGAAGAAAACTATTCGGGAATCCGAACGACTGCAGCCGAGACGTAGGCGGGCAGCCGTAGCTGGGAGGAGAAGTCGACGGCCGGGAGACCGACTCCAACCCTACAAGAAGTCGAGGAGGAGCACGGACCTGCAGTGAAAAGGCACGGAGACGACGCGCTTACGGTGGGACGTTGATGGAGTTCCTGGAGGACACGACAGTGTGTGTGTGGGGGCGTTTCCTACACGAGGCAGGAGCCAGGACCAGGAGCTACAACTCAACTCTCACCGGAGGATAGGTGGAAGTAGGTGATTCTAGTTTCCCTCCCAATTCCCCTTTAGTCAGCTATATTATTTAGCCAGAGTATTTTGTATGTCGTGAGCAAGGCTCACCTATGTAACAGAAAGGCACCAGTGTGAAGAGTGGGACTATAAAGAGTACTCACGATATTTATGATTATTATTGGTGTGTGCAGGCACCCGGAGTAATTGATGAATTTACTGTGTTGATAATGTCTTTAATGAGACTTTAACACTTTCGCGCTCCGTGGAAACTCACGGTTGACAGGGGGTAGGTAGCCCCTCCGTGTGGGTAAGCGCGCGGTGACACCCAAATGTATATACTCGTTCCAGCTTTCTCACCTTAATTCTCGTGCTACGTCGCTCGTTTTGGTATCATTGTGTTCGCAATTAAATTCTCTACAGGTGTGTATAAATATAATGTCCAAAAGCCTAGCGTGACTGCCAACAGCAAAGCGTAAAGTCGGCAAAAACGCACAAAATCAGTAACATGTGCATTCTCGTTCCATTTTTTTACCTTAATTCTCGTGCTACGTCGCTCGTTTTGGTATCATTGTGTTCGCAATTAAATTCCCTACAGATGTGTATGAATAAAATGTACAAAAGGCTGGAGTGCCTCCCCGCAGAAAAGCCTAGTTACCCGTGAACGAGCACCATTTTGTACATTGCAACCTAATGTTCAACTCGTTCAATTTGATAACATCAAATTTCGTGCTACGTCGCTCGTTTTGGTATCAAATTGTTCGCAATAAAAAGGCGAGTATTTTAAAACTAGTCCCAGAATAATAGAGCAATAACTGGATTTTTAACAAATATTTTAATTCTTGACGCTCATCATCACAAATTTATTTATATCTTTCCAATGTTCTGACATAAATATTTGTGTTGCATCTTTCATTTTGGTATCAAATTGTTTGCAATAAAAAGGCGCGCATTTTAAAACTAGTCCCAAGATAATAGGACAATAAATAGAATTTTAACAAATATTTTAATATTCGGACCATAGGCCTATTTATAATATTTCAAGTGTTTGGACATCAATTTTCATGTTATATCTTTGATTTTGGTATCAAATTGTGTGCAATCTAAAGGCGCTTATTTTAAAACCACTACCAGATTGATCTGATAAAATTTAAATTTTTAAAAAATATTTTAATGAGTGACTCAGTACTGCGTCGTTGGAACACATTCAGTAGAAAAATGAGTGACGAGATAGTCAGTCTGTGGAACCTCAAAGTGTTAATATGATCATATAGTGAGAGAATATATATATAAATATGCCAGTATTTGGAGTTAGGCTATGTGCCCAGTAACTATGTTATTACCATTATTGATGTCTATGACTCATCCATATATATGTCTATGCTCGTGTATTGAATAATCATTCATGTGTGCAGTGATTAATTGTGTTATCGCCCACGAAAGGAATTACTAAGAACTCTAGTGATATATACTTGCATACGTTATCATTAAATGAAGGGCAGTGTGTAATACCATGACAGTGAATTATTGTCACCTTTAATATAGAAATGTTTGATTGAGCTCAAGATCAGTGCAGCGAAGTGTTTACGTGCTATTGTCGCAAATATTGTGTGTTCGAACTTCTAGTGATCATTGAGAACTTAAAGAAACTGGCGCGTCACGCCACAAGCAAACAGACAAAGTAACATTCGCGCGGGGGTAGTTGCCCGGCTGATTTTGACATTGACGTGAGGTGGAGCATTGCCGGCTTGGCGAGTTCATATTATATGTGGGAACGAGCGACTCCCGCCTGAAATAGCTGTTTGCTTATTGATATAATCTTGTGATGTCTTTGAATGAGTTTTAAGTAAAATACAAAGTACATTGGTGTTTATATCATCCCCTCCATATTTCTGGTGGCTATATAATACCTGACAG